TTTTTTCTTAAGAACACAATAATATACTACTCATGTGTTAACTATCTACTTAATGTCAAGATTACCAACATGATTATAATTATCATGTGTACAAATTAAAGTATCTGAATAACTATTTGAATTCACTGTCATAATATTGCAATCATTTGAACTCTTACCTTTCTTATCTTTTCGCTTTTGCTTCAAGATTTTACGGTATCACTTTACATGGCCTATTTTTATCGCAATAGAAGCACTTGACTTTATCTCTAAAATTGAATCTATGTTTAGAGTTCCTATGACCTTTTGAGTTATGACCTCCGTTGATGTTTTTACTTTTATTCTCTGTGACCAAAGCTTAATTATCAGGATTTAAATCTTTTCGCCTTGCTTCTTCATTAAGCATAATATCTTTTACCATCTCCAATGTCATCTTGTAATCAAGAACAACCACAACTAGAATATTTCAACTGTCTGACAATGAACCTAAAAGAAACAACGCTTTCATTTCATCATCCATTTTAAGCTTCATAGTAGTCATTCGATTAAATATATCTTAAAAATCACTAAAATACTCTATAATCGATCTTTCATCCCTGTATTGTAAAGTTGCAAGCTTTTTAACAAGTATAACTTTATTCATACATATTTTTCTCTGATAAAATGCTGTCAATTTTTTTCAAATAGTATGGACATCTGTCTCCTACACTACATAATGAAACACGTTGATATCAACCTATTTTTTTATTGTAATAAGCGTCTTTCTACTTAACTTTTTTCAGCTTTCATCTTTCATATCTACTTATTTAGTCGAATCACCCAATACATGCTTATACAAATATTTGCAATATAAATGATCTTTCATTATAGGTTTCCAAATTAAATAATTTGATATTGTCAATTTTATCATGAAACCTGTATCACTTTTTATGATCTCAAACATAATTTACTTCTGTCATAGACCGCTTTTGTATCGATGTCTTTAAATAACCTTTGCTCTGATACCACTTGTTGAGCATGAAGTAATAAACACAACAATGCGAAAGTAATATATTGCAATAAACCCATACTAATAGACAACAATCAATAATCAACAATGAAAAAAAAATAAAGCACATTAAAATTTATGTGAAAAACTCTCCAATGTAGAAAGAAAAAACTACAAATCACCAGAAAAAACTTTACTATCAAATAATAGATATACAAAACTCTTCTTTAGCTAAAACTATAGCTAATTAACAATTAGAGAGATAATTGAAGATATCTCACAAAATAGGTAATTCAACAAATACACTTTAAATTTATTCCTAGAGAACTTCAAACCAGATCTTCACCGTTCGTTCAGAATATAAAACTCTGAATCATAAATTTGCTAACAAAATTCAACTTAATCAGATCATATATTAACTTTTGTTCAACTAACTTTCTCTTCTCTTTTTTTTTCTATTTTTTTGACTTTTTTTTCTCTTTTCTTTTCTTGATTTTCGACGTCACCTTGTTTTTTCACCTTAAAACAACTTCCATATTTTTTTATTAAGTAACTAAAGCTTTATATAAAAAAAATCCAAAAGCTATGACCTTTAATTAATCCTAACCCAATTATATTAGATTAAACCCTACTTTCCTAACATGTCATTCCATTGCAAAAAGCTTGTTAAACCCAACCTAACCTCCTCCATCTGGTTCCAATAAAAGATAGCTTATTACACTGTGGATGTGTGGTCAGGGTGATGATTATTTATTGTAAATTTTTTATTTTGTTTAGGGATTTCAAAATTCATTGAGTTTCAACCATAAATTGAATTTTCATATAAAAATTTTGAATCCAAAAGGTTAAAAGTCCAAGAAAGTGTTTAGTTTTTATTTTAGTTTAATTTTGATTTTAACTTTTTCCTTAGTTTTAATTCTGATTTTAGTTTTAATGTTAATTTTATATTTAGTTTTATATTAGTTTGGTCGAAGGTTAACAAAATAAAAAAAAATAAAAAAAGAAGATGCAAACGTGGGATTCTTTGTGAAGATCTTGACTTTTCGGAAGATTTTAAATTAATGGTTAAATATTTTTGGAAAGAAATTTAGAGCTAAACCAATATCAGATCTGTCAAGATTCGATTACATTAAAATTTTCTTACTGAAATTCAGACTTGGATCTCTATAAGAGGGAAGCAATTCCAGTGGTAAAAAACGAGGACATTGGCAAGAACAAGCAATATTCAAAGCCAATTTCCAGCAACCAATAAGCAATTAGCAGTTTCCAGCAAATCAAGCAACTAAGATGCAATCAGAAAACAATCAAGCAAAAAGCATGAAAAATTCAGGCAATCAACTGCGCGGGGCAAGTCATACAGCAGCCAAAAACCTCAAAAAATCAGAAATTCCAGCAATAGTTCATGCATAATTCGGCAGTGGACAATCAAGCAATCTAGCAAGCCAATTCAACACCAAACCAGTTTCAGAGAATCCCAGAGGCAAAGCACAGAAGCAAAGCAGACATTCAAGGAGACAATAAGCAACAGCCCAGCCAAGAAATCACCCGGTGCAGCCAAAGGTATCAATCAAAGCAATCAACTCAGAACCTCCTACTTAGTGAACCCGAAATAAGCAAAAGCAATTCAGCAAGGCAACACAGTGATTCAGTCGTGCAAACCAAAGGAAGCATCAAACATCAAGCAAGATGTAATTAGCAAATTTAAACAATTCTCAAGAAGCGGTAGGAATTAACAGAAACAATTGCAAAAAGAGTCGGCACAACAAGGCCACTCCAGCATTAATCCAATAGAAAGCCAAAATCAGAAAATCGACCAGCAAATTTCCAATTCAACACAGACACCGAAAGCCAGTGAACCCAAACCCAGAAGGAAACCAAACCCGAATTCAAACGAAAAAAAAAAAGAACCGCCAAACCAAAGAATAGAGGATCAAAAGCGCAGAGGCACAGCACTGCAGGGGCAAAGGTTTTTCTGTGGGTTTCGATTTGAGTTTATTGGAGTTACTGGGTTTTAAAACGGAGATTAAAAAGGGAGGTCTGGGTTGCAGTTGGGTCTCGTTCAGTAAAAATAAGAGGGGGTTAAAGAGATTCGAAAGGGGTGAAATTTCTGGCACAGACGACGTGGTCGAACGGCGAAACGGTGAACTTGCCGGATTCTGGGTGGGGTAATCGGTTTGGGATTGTTTTTCGGCAGAGGAAGCAGAGAGTGAAATTCAAACAAGAGATTAAGTGCTGTGAAGAAAAGAAGAAGAAAGGAGGTCGCACGCGTGTTGAAGACCCGGATCCCCGATACTGACCCGACCCGCGAACGACAGTTACAGGTTTTTTTTTTTTTTATTTGTTATCTTAATTCTGTTTTTATTACTCTACGTATATTAATTTTAATTCAATTTTAAAAAGAAGAAGAAGAATTCTAGATTTTTGTATATTTATAGTATTATGATATTTATTTGCATGCTATTTGTTTAATTGTATGTTTTTACATGGAAAATATATTTTTGTATGAATTTGATTATTCATATACTTGTATGTTTTTTTAATATATTTACATGGTTATTTATATTTGCATGATTATTAATTCATTGCATGATTATTAATATATTTATTTGTTTAATTTATTAATTAATTATATAATTATTAATATATTTATTTTTGTGGTTTATTAATTGCATTATCATTAATATATTTCAATATCTATTTGTATTTTACATGATATAATATATTATTGTGTGATAATTTTTTGCATGAATCATTATAATATATTATTGCATGATTTTATATTTATTACATGATATTATTGTATGATATTTTTGGTATGATTTATTATATATTTTGTATGATTACATGATATTTTGGATAGAATTTTTGTACGATAATATTGTGTAAATAAATAAAAAGATTGAAATTGATTTGTATGATAAAAAATTATCTTTGATTAAAGCTTAAGCAACATAACACATGATTAATTTAGTGCCAATTTTGAGTGTAAATGGGTGTTAATATCTTTTTTTTACATAATCAACTTTTAAACCTTAGTTCTATTGATGTAGACTAAAATTTATTTTTTTAAGAACCTTCAATTTACACTTAAAATAATCTTAGAAAAAATAGATTTACATAGACGACCAATCACAACTAGATAAAAAAATTAGTGGCAACTATGATTATTTGTGTCTAATGTGTAAATTCTCGGATCTAAATATCATGACATTGTGCATCTCTTTCCAACACAATATTCTGCCATCCCATTCCTATTCCCATTCCCATTGCAAACTCAACTGTCTTAGAAGCTGCTATCCCCTTTGCTATTACCATGTTTTTGATCCCTGTTATAACCACAGACACTACTCCCAATACCTTCTCACAGTTGTTTTTGGCAATCAGCACTAATCTTCCCATACTCTTTCCTATATCCAGTGCTCCATCAAAGTTTATTTTCACAGCATCTCCCATAGGCGCACTCCATCTAGTCGTAACCTTTGTGGTCTTACACGCTTGTTTTGCATAGGCACATGCAACTTCATTTAAATCAACAAATTATATTATTTTCTAGTGGTCCCTGTGTATTCCATTCTTAAAGCCTTCGTTTCTGGTAGACCATATTGCCCAACACATTATGATGATTTGGCAAAGCTTGTCCTTATCCATTTTGTTAACCAGGGAAGTAAACCATTCCTTTATGGTTTGTGCTTAGGAGTCTTGCCACTCTTTTTCGTAGCCTACCTACATGTGCCCATACCTCATTCACAACAATGCAGTCATTAATGGCATGCATTACAATTTCATCTTGTATTTGGCATTGTGGATATGTCACATAATCCATTGTTCTTTTGGTCTTCATTATTTCGTACATAGGAAGTGTTCGTGTCCCAATCTCTATGCAAATTGTAGACACCTTATTTTATCCGAAGTTCTTTGTCAATCGAAACTAATTTAAATTCGATTGTAAGAATTTTTATTTATTTTTATTTTAGATTTTTCTATTTTTGTATTTATCATTTTTATTTTTTTATGATCTATCTATTGTTTAATTTCTTTTTCTTTCTCCATTATCTGATTAATTTTTTTTAAAAAAAAAAAGTTGAAAGAATGAGATTAGGATTGGTGCTAAGTTTTTGATTTGGATGCTAATTAGAATTGAATTGAAACTCTATTAGCATGGATCTATATATCAACAATGAATATACAAGAATCAGGAGAAAAACAGAAGAAAAACAAAAGGGGAAGCCCCCATCGCCACTAGGCCCTCAAGGCCTCTCTTTGGTGGGAAACCTTCCCTTCCTTGACCTTGACCTTCACTCCTACTAGGCTGTATTAGCTCGTACCTACGAGGCAGTTGTGAAACTCCAACTTGGGAGCACATATTGGGTGACGCGAAAGGCAGCTGTTGATGCTTTGAGTGCTTTGGCACTGCATTCAACAACTTGATTACAGATAGAGCAGCTTCAACGATAACAGTACTGAAGGGTTGCTGCTTTGACAGGATGAAACCTGTTAGAGATAGCATGATAAAAGTATTGCAATTATGGAAAAAGATTGCAGGAAAAGGGGAAGATGAAACTGCAGATGACCAGAAAAGAGCTTGAGCAGACTTTTTTTGCTAGTGCCATCAACACCACAGCTGTATCACTAAATTTCAATTTCTCTGTCATTGCCATCACCAATCAACTAGATACAAATTACAATACCTAATTTTCCATCAATTTTTAGCCAACATACTCAGACCCTAATAGAGCCCCATTTTAAGCCAAAAAATCTAAGAATACACAAAGATTAAACAGAAAATCAGATGCAAAAAATAGAGGAAAAACCAAACATAATGAAATCATAGCAAGCATCAATCAATTTCTATTCGTCTACTGTCAGCCGAATCATCCCTCAATCTCTGCTAAAACACCAACAATTCAACTCTTACCAGACAGCCCAGGACCCATAATCAGACCAAAAAAAGAGGTTAAAAAAAATCGTTCATCACCAAACCCATTAATCATTGAATCCAACCCATATTTACAAATAGAGAGAGCTAAAAGAGAAGCCAGCCACCAAACCACGCGCGGATAACGAAAGCACTAATCCTCACCACCAGAGCCATCTTCATTTCCAGTTACCTCTAGCACCAAAATAGAGTCACACAAGTAGTCAAAAAAGAGAAACAGAAAATAGATTTTCTCTTTAAGATTCCCAATCGAGATTGATCTAGTTTGTTTTGAAGTTTTGAAATTTGTGAGGAGGCAGCCAAGAAGAAAGGAGAAAGCATACTTAGCGGTGGTGGCCATCAAAGCTGCAAAGAACAGAGAGAAAATCATGATTTTGGACTTAGATTTGTAAAATCCTGCTAGTTTTTGGAAAATCCAACCGGAACATATTAAAAAAAGACCAAAAAGAACTGTTTCGTAAAATTTAGAGCTCAACCGATGCCGGTGGGGCGACGACCTAAATCTGGGAAGCCTTGAAGAATTGCATGGTGTTTACTTGAATGCTGGAGAGAAGTGTAGAGGAGATAAATGTGTAAAGAGAAAAGAAAGTTGAAAATGAAAGAAAAACAAAGAAAAATGGCTTTTATAGTAACCACAAATAGTGTCGTTTTGGGAATGGATCTCTTGAAAGATATGCGTGTCGCTCCATTTGAAGGATCCAACCTGGTCGCGACCCGTTCCGCCTTAATTTAGAGACGTTAAGTTAAGTTTTCGAAGTCGAGCCGATTTTACCCGGGCTGCGTCTTCGAATTGTCTTTTCTTTCTCAAGTCACGTTAAGTCGAGCTGTTAAGTCGAGTCATTCTCAGTTTTTTTTAATTTATTATTATTTATTTATTTATTATTATTATTATTGTTATTATTATTTATTGATTAGATTAGAATTGTTTAATATTTGTTATTTTATTTTTCTTTATTTTTATTTTTATTTTATTTTTATTTTATTTTCTTTAAATAAAATTAAAAAATATATATTTTGAGAAAAAGTTGAAAGTATCAATTTTTCTTTAAAATAAGTTTTTCAAAAAAATATTTTTGAGAAAAAGTTAAAAGTATCAATTTTCCTTGAAAATAAGCTTTCTAAAAAATATTTTTGAGAAAAAGTTGAAAGTATCAATTTTCCTTAGAAATAAGTTTTTAAAAATGGATTTTTGAGGAAAAGTTAAAAATATCAATTTTCCTTAAAATTAAAGTTTCTAAAAAATATTTTGCGAAAAAGTTGAAAGTATCAATTTTTTCTGTACAAAAGCAATCATTTTTTTTTATTTTCTTGAATTTTTTTAATGTTAAATAATCCGACGATGGAGTCTCTGTAAGTGAAAGAGTAGTTTTCTTGCATACTTTTGAGGTGAGAGAATTTTTTCAATTTTCTACTAAAAGTATTAGAATCAATTGAGAATAATTTTCAATAATTAATTACTTAGTAAAATTTTTGAGGCATTTTGGATAACACAAAATTAAGCTGGTACCATCTTTCGATGGACGTTGTGAGGGTGCTACAACCTTCTTCACACGTAACCGTATTCCCGAATCCTGTTTTGGTTAATAGACCTGAACCTATTCTTTTAGGGACCCTTAGGCTCAGGTGTTCCTTGAAAAAATAAATTTTTTAGGTGGCCAATCACACGTAGATAAAAAAGATTGGTGGTGACTCTTTCAAGTCAATGTGTAACGATAGATTCCGGATCTAAACGTTATGATAGCTTGGTGACTCCACTAGGGACGTCTGAAAGTCAGGCTAGCAAATAAATTTGTGTTATCCAAAAGTCTAATAAAATTGAACTTTTTGTATAGATTTTTTTTATTCATTCATGTTTATTTACTTTATTAATTATGTCATTCATATGCATATGCATAACATGAACTCTATACCCGAGCTCCGTCCCTCTAGGAAGGAGTAAAGTACCTATTGCTTTCGTGAAGTTTAATGCCTCCGTAGTGACTAGCGAAATACTTCCACTCAAATTGAACCTTTTTCGCTTGTAGCTTGTAATGGGTGAGGATTGGGATGCCTTACTAGTCTATGATGGACAATGATGTAAGGAGTAATTTGAAAACCTTTAGACTTTAGCCTTGAACTACATATAGTGAAACTTAGAAGTGCCTAACCCTAAGATAGAGCCATTTCTACCCAATGATAGATATACCCTGAAACTAGGACACAAAAATGGTGTTTATCTAATCATTTTGATTGTCTGACTTTGTGCATCATTTTTATTATCATATGTAACATTATACATCGGCATCACTTTCATTTCATCTATGAAACTAACTATGTTGTTTGTCTGATTTTATGCATCTGTATTATTTTCATGATCATGTTTTAACACAATCATTTGCATCCATTTCATATTAGATTTCATCCATAAAAATGTACATTTCATTCGTGCATCAATGTATCATCCATTAAGCATAACATAGCATTTCTAATCATAATTATATGCTAAAGGTTCAAGGATAGCTTCACCAAGCAACCCCACTCACCAATACAATACAAGAGCTCAAGCTAGACAAATGAAATGAGAAAATTTCAATCGTCTCAAGAGAATAGAGAAAGCTCAGAAAAAGTTAGAAGGAGAGTTGAATAAGATTTTAGAGGCTTTGAACAAGTTAAACAAGGGGAAGGCAATAGAGGAGAATGCTAGCTAACAAGATCATCCCCTACAAGAAAAGGATGACCCACTGTACCCTCCTAGTTTCAAGCCACATCAAGTTCAACCTGCACAAGGTTTACCATCACAGTAGTTCACCTATCTTGTAAGGTACATATATCCCAGAATGCCATGATATTCAAATCAAAGACAGTACCAAAGTTATATAAATTTCATTTTTACTGAAAAGGTAGTAAAACCAATATCAGTCCCTAATTTGAATGATCTAAAAGAATAAAAAAAAATTAAGGCCCAAAGAGAAGGTGCTTGTAGAAGCCTTAAAAGCTGAACAAAAGATAAACTTGTTAGAGAAAAGGTTATGAGTAGTGAAAAGAGTGGGTTTTTTTTGGTTCTGTTGATGTTGATGGACTCTGTTTAGTCTCAGATGTGGTTATCCCTCTGAAGTTTAAAGTGCCAGAGTTCAAGAAATATGATGATACAAGGTGTCCGAAAACTCACATTACTATGTACTGTCAAAAAATGACTGCCCATGCCAATAATGAAAAGCTCTTGATGCACGTCTTTCAAGATAACCTCATTGATTTTACTGTTAGGTGGTATATCCAGTTAGATAAAACTCGCATTCATTCTTAGAGTGACATGGCCACGATTTTATCAGTCAATATCTATATATCATGGATTTGGCCCCTGATCGTTTGTCTTTACAAAACCTGGAGAAAAAAACCAATGAGACTTTTAAGGAGTATGCTCAGAGGTGAAGGGATATTACTTCTCAAGTACAAGCCTCCTTTGACTGAGAAAGAAATTACAGTGTTGTTTGTCAGCACTTTGAAATCTTTTTATTATGAAAAGATGATAAGAAATGCAACAAAGAATTTCACAGACATAATGATCTCTGAAGAAATTATTGAAAGTGCCATCAAGAATGGTAAGTTGAAAGGAAGAGAAACCAAGAAGGCATCAAAAAATAAAGAAACTAAAGCTCAAGTTGTGGGCTTTGATAGGCGATAATTCAGGGGTTATCAAACCCTATCCACCCTAAGGTTACTCTTCATACTATTCTGCTGTAAATAATACTTCATCTTATCCATACCAACCAGCCCCACAACCACTTAATTCATCCATATACCAGCCCATTTTTATCCCTCAAGCTCCCATATATAGCCTTAACAGTCAAACTCTTACAAGACCCTAAATTCATCCTATTAACCTGGCAAGTGGTTCACGAGAGCAATGGACTATTCGAGAAAAGCTCATATTTGATCCAATCCCCATGACTTATACGGAGTTATATCGAGAGCTTTATAATAGCCACCAGATTGCCCTCAAGTTGTGTAGAGCTACTCAAGCCATCTTATCCTAAGTAGTATGATCCTATAGTTCACTATGACTATCACTATGGAATTGCTAGCCATTTCACTAAAAATTGCACTGCTTTAAAATATAAGGTTCAACGGTTAATTAAGGATGGAATGGTAAGTTTTGATCAGGGAAAAGTAACAACACCTAATATTAGTGGTAATCCATTACCTAATCACAATGTCAATGCTCTGAATGAGAATTAAGAATATGTTAATTCAAGAAGGCTTGAAGAGTCGTAATGAATCAATGGGGCGAAATAAAAATCTTTCACCTGATTGCATGGGCACATAATTTTAAAGAAGGATATTAAAACTGGTTGAATACTATTTGTCATTCTAAGAGTTCTTTTAAAGTAATGTTAGGATTTTTTTTTGCAATATGATTTCACTTGTTATCATTTTAATAAAGGCAAGTTAATGCATTTCATTACATTTTCTCTTTCACTCGACCATTATTCCATGCTCTGTTACTTTTCATAACTTTACATTCCCATTCTCAAATTTCAGATGATGAATATTTAGGCAATGATAACAATAATTCTGAGATTTAATTTTGAAAACTCATCCACATTAATATGAGGAGATGATTTGAGCAAAAAAGTAAGCTATTACTAGAGGTGAAATAGATATGTATTGAAGATGTGTAATCTTTTATACAAGTTCATGAGCTTTGTTCAATAGATGATGTTCAAGAAAAGTATTCACAATTGAGATGAAAAATGGTCATCTTTCTTTTACCATTCAAAAAACCATTTATTACTACCCCTTTGAGCCTATTATGATTTCTTTTTCTAAAGTACCCCACCAAAGATCACCTTCTATACTGGAGGGTAATTTTTGAAAAATAAATATTACAAAAGGTCTCAAAGATGGAAAAAAAAAAGCAAAAGAAAAAATAAATGTCACACATGATTTGGGGTAAAGTAATGAGAATCCTTTGTGTGAGAAAAGAAAAAAGTAGTGAAATGATGTGGGGGCAAAATGCCAAGTTGCATCAAATGATTTTTTGGTCTTGAACCTTTTTAATATATGTTTTGAGCCTATTATATCCATTTCTTTTATGACCCCTCACCTTGACCTACATTATAATCTTGAAAAGCCCATTTGGATCAAGTGTGAATGCTCAACTTAAATGATCATATGTTGGGCAAAGGTATGCTTATGTTGAAACAATGAAATCATACTACATTGCTCTAAACTTTGATGTGTGAAAGATATCAACAATGGATGCAAAATGAGAAAAAAAAAGAAGATGATGAAAAAATATATAAAAAAAGAAAAAATAGAGGAAAAAAATGAAAAAATGAAAAATGAAAAAATGAAAAAAAGGATTCAAATTGAAAACCTGAAAGGGTGATTTGGGTAGAAAAAGATTTAGGTCAAATGGTTCACATGGATGGAAGATCAAAGACATCTGAAGATCCCTCAAAGAGTGAGGCAAAGTTCGCCAAGCTTAAAATGACTTCAACAGTAAATGAAATGAGTTTTTGAAAAAGAATCCTAGATTAATGTTCAGAATTGTCTGAATATTCATCGTTTGGACATACCAATCATCCCAATGACATGTATCCAATTTATTTTTTTTTCTCATTTGTTTTATACCAAAATATATCTTCATTGATTATCTTTACCATAATTCACCTTATATTCTCTTATTGTTACATCCC